ATCCCTTATGTGAACCATTTAGGTAGCTTTGAATTAAATCACAAGAGTAGAGTGAGCAAGGGATAAGTATCAGCATCTTTTTACTGAAAGATACAGTGTTTATCAATATCACCATGCACAGTTGCCTTAAGCTTTGTTCATCTATACTTGCCAGGAGGCATCCCCACCTAGAAAGAGAAGGCAGGCCTACAGAATAATGTCAGGCTACACACCAAAAAGTTCAGAGCTGGATTTACCTTCCTGGCACCTAAATTCACAGTACAATTGTTTGTCAGTATTATTATACCATCATACCATCATATTAAACTTTCATTTGTGAACCTAAATAGGTATCATAGGTATCCCCCCCCTCTACATTCATTATTTTCAGTGTTGTGCTTAAAGCATCATCATGCATGAAAGCTGTTTTGTTTTTGTTTGAGATAGGGTCTCACTCTGGCACCCAGGCTGGAGCACGTGGCACAATCTCCACTCACTGCAGCCTCAACCTCCTAGGCTCAAGTGATCCTCCCACCTCAGTCTGAGTAGTAGGGACTACAGGCACTCACCACCACACCTGGCTAATTTGTGTATGTTTTTTGTAGAGACGGGGTTTCTCCATGTCTCCCAGGCTGGTCTCAAACTCCTGCACTCAAACAATCTGCCCGCCTTGGTTTCCCAAAGTGTTGGTATTGATGACAGGCCTGAGCTGCTGCGCCTGGCCTGGAAGCTATTTTGAATAAGCAAATTTTTAAGTATTCCGTCTCTTTGCTCAAGTATCTTTTTTAGTAATACTTTCTTTGCCCACGCTGCCCTTCACTGGTTTATGTTTCTCCATAGCACTTACTTCCACCGTGCTCTGCAACTTCTTTTCTTTTTTTGGAGTCAGGGTTTACTCTGTCTGCAGGCTAGAGTGCAGTTGCATGATCATAGCTCACAGCAGCCTCGACCTCCTGGGCTGAAGCAATTCTCCCACCTCAGCCTCCTGAGAAGCTGGGTCTACAGGCACGCACCACCACACTTAGCCAACTTTTATTTTTATGCTTGTCTTCACGCACTAAATGTTAGTTTCTTGGGGGCAGGGCTTTGTTTTGTTCATTGCTATATCCTCGGCATCTAAAACATATTACATATTAGATAATCAATATTTGTTGA